CAGCAACAGCAAAGGCAGGGGGCCGCCACCGCCACCTCCCAGCAGCCCTCCCTTCTGGGACTACGGTAAGAGCCAGGCCCCAGAGCCTCTCCCCCTGTCCCGCCATCTTCCTTTCTGCGTTCATCCTCTTCTTCCCCCCATCAAACACCGGCTGATTCCTTGGGCTCCAGCTCCCCCGAGAGCCGTTCCTGCTGTCTCTCCCTCTTTCCTTGCTCAGTGGAGACAGGTACTCACCTTCCATGTTGAAGGTGCAACCCTGCATTTATTTTCCCTGTTGCGGGGTTTGCAGCACGGGACGCGCAGCTCCGCAGCAGCCGGAGCAAGGTGCGCAGCCTTGCCGCTCATTGCAAAGTTGAAGGCAAGTGGCTTTGCTCTGAGAGGGCAATCGGTCTGGGAGGGAAACCAGACTGTGATCACTGTGCACTGCAGGTGCTGGTGCGTGTTTCTCTGAGCGCTGTCTCACTGTTTATAAAGTCACAGGCACAAGCCTCCAGCAACAAAAGTGCCAAAAAACTCAGCGATGGCAGGTAAATGGGGAAGTTACCGCTGCAGCTGCCTGAAGCAAGCATTTTATGATAGCACTGTAAAAGAAAGAGGCCTTTTGGCCTTAACTCCTGTAGCAAAGACTGAACTTGGCTGGGATCACTTGGTGTAAACGCGCATTTGGTATTTAAGAGCAGAGCATAGATTTTGCAGGTGGAACAGTTGTATGGTCTGTCACCTCTTAAATTGCTTCCTTTAACAGAGTCTTTCATGTGACTTTTCTAGTTTATTACTATTTATTACAGTAACTTCATACTATTACTATTTACTGTGGTAATTTTACAGAAATCCCTACTGACTGCAACAGTCATTAGTCTGAGCCTCTGGAGAGTTGGCAGCCTGCAAGACAAAATGCTGTTCTGAGAAGCCCAGGGGAGAGAATAATTTCAGACAGCTCTAGTTCCCACCTAATCTGCCAATAACTGTTTTTTTTTTTTTTTTATTCCTAAGAAAGTTGTATTTATGGATGACGCTAGCTGTATATGTGCCTGTCAGTCCTTCCCTTAATAACACTTTTAACCTGCTGACAAATTTAAAAAAAGGTTAGGGACAAATAGTATAATTCTAGTACTCCAGAAGTCAACCTAGTCTTGAAGCACATTGTTCCACTCCTCTATCAACAGGAGGATGTGCAGACAAGAAAGACCCTATTCGTATTCAAATAATCACTCTCTTTTTTAAGACTTTGGAAAGGCCATATAAGGCTCCAGATGCAAGATAAAAAACAAAGGAATTAACTGATTTGTGCATCTGAAATTGCCTGTGTATGTCCCTAAAATTGAGCCTTTGTCTGTAAATTAATTTAAGAAGTGACAGATAGGACTAAAGAACTCTATTTGTAGATTTTTGTTTTAAGTTGTGCTAGAGTTAAAAGTCTTCAGGTAGGTTGCTTTGCTGTTGCTGATGTACTCCATAAGATTGTGCAGCCAGTGATTTACTAAGGACTAGCTTCACAATGCACAAGGCAGAAAACAACGCAGATCATTCTGCATTACAGTATCATCTGCTGCACCTTTCCTTAGTTCCTTAAAAAATCTCGAAATAAACTCATGAGCAGCTAAGCGTGAAACCAAAGGGCCAGATTCTCCTGCCTGAGAGTGGAATTTGGTCCTGCAGCTACTTCTACTGAACATCCAGGATTACATGGATACTTTCATTTGTTCTTTTCTTGTTGTTTCCAAGCTCACCCTGCTTTTCCTCCAGAATGCATGGTCAAGCCAGAATACCTGGAGAGAGAATCTCCGAAAGTGTACCCTCGGTGTTCTGGGGTGTATCCTTACCACCCATTTCCCATGGGATTTGCCATCAATCCGTCAAACTGTAGGGGAGCACCATCACCTCCAGGGATACCACTGCAGAGAGGTTTCCGACCCATTCCTAGCAACTATGGGCCAGGGAATGCAGCTTCTGCATCAGTAAGTAGTGGTCCTTTAATTACTTCTGGAAATACTTCTGTCTTCACTTTTAGCTGCCTTCTTGCTGTTAACGTACCTGTGAAAAGTTACCCTGCTTATAAGTTACTTCACAGCATTTTGATGTATTATACTGAAGAAAACATTAGCAAGTGATGATGTTAATAGTCTGACCTGAACCCAGAAAAGCACACCCACCCACTTGCAAGGGGCCAGATTTTCTGAAGTGTTTAAAGGCTCATACATGCTGCTAACATCTGCAACAGCCTTTTGGAATGATGGCAGTTAGACACTTAATATGGCCGTGTTGAGCCAGCGTAGATGGCACAGAATATGTGTCGGGAGGTTCCTCTTCCATGCACGACCAATCTAATGGGGAGGGAGAGTGTCAGGGCTTGGCCAAGGCACCAGAGCCGCAGAGAAGAACAGGGGGGAAAATCAACTTCCACAAGGAAGCGAATCAGTATAATTGGATATCTCTGTTTTGAAACATTTAGTTTCTCAAAACCAGTGGAAAATTGTTGTGGTTTCAGATGAAAAATGATATTTAGCATCATAGAGCCCACACCTTCAAACCACACAGACATGGTAAGAAAAAAAGATGCTGAATTGCCTGTCAGTTGTAATGGGGTATGTGAGCACTTCCAGTTCCTTTCAGTGCTGTCAGTCATGTTGGTTTAAACTGGTAGTGTCCAGTTTTTCTACCACAGTTGGGCACGTTACCAGATTTCCAGCTGCTATGCGTTACTCTCTCTGCACGGAGTACAGTTCATTGGTTCATGTTAGAGTGATCTGCCTCAAGACTACTAGATTTATTACACTTGCATAGAAATTCCCTGTCCCGTTTTAGGGGTTATTGAGAAAGAGAGTGGCTGGCAGCAGTCTGAGTCCTGGTGGGCTGAATATGCACAAGTTGGGAAATGCCTTGTCTAGACTATCACTGTATGTGGTTTTGAATTTAATTTTTAACTGTCCTGAAACAGATGGAAAGATCTCGTACAAGCTCTATCTGTACTAGGGTGCATGGCCAGATCCAAGAGAGAAATGCTCCTGTTTGATGCTATTGTTTCCGAGGGATGGAAATCTCTCCTTCCACACGGAATGAGTTTTATCATGCTCTAACAGGTCTGGTGATCACAGAAGACCAGGGCTGTGGGGCACCCTGTGGTGCACACCAGCCCCTCAGTGTAGGTAGAGCCACTCACTTGCCTGGGCTCAGAGGAGAATCCATACCTAGCAGGGAGGTGGTGGCAAGGAGCATTTCCTAGGTTGCCTCTTACATGAAGACTTCTAGACTTATTGAGTGGCAAGTGCACCAGGTCAGTGGTGAAGGTGAGCCGCTCCTGGTTTAAATCATCTACTCTAATGAGAGAGCAGAAGATGAGGACTTAAAAGGTCAGTTTCAGCTGAGACATGGTCTGAGAAGCTGCTACTTCTCAGTTTCAGCATGTTACTCTATGCACAGGCTTTGCACATGCTAATACATGCACAAATGTGGCAGCATATTGCCACAAAATGGACAAAAAAATGTAACATTCACAGGTAAAAATTTAAACAGAAATTGTTTGATACTGCAGATTTGTCCTGGAGAGAGCCTTCAGATGGAAGGTGCTTTGCTTCATGTGTTTCCGCAGATTCCAGATGGAGTTGGAGATTTCCATCAAGGGTACTACACTCCTCTGCCTCAGTTCATCCCACCAAGTTTTCTGCCAGGGATTCATTACATTCCACCTCCCCTTTCACTGAACGTGTTGGCTGAAACAACCAAGGAAGCTCATGGTAAGGAAGTATGAGATGAGCCCTCGAAGATTCAGTTTTAACCTGGTTTCAATACCTAATCACAGAGCTGGAAGCCTCAGGAGACCCTGCTTCTAGCCAGTTTTCAGGGCTTCACAGATCACTGTGATGGAGCCAGGACTGAGCTCCTGAAGTTCCAGGACAGGTTGCCGGCTTGTACAGCTCTAGGCAGGCCTGACTTAGGGAAAGCAGCCTGACGTGCTTGGGCTTTCCAGCTGACAAGCACCTCAACCTCACACGGACGTTGGACGCCCCAGGACTCAGAGGCATTCCAGAATATGATCTGCTGATGTTCTCCAAATATTTTTTTCTAAATAGCTAATTGGCAGGACATATTATAAAAATTACTTGGCTCTGCTGCAATTTAGACAAAATGTTAAAAAATGCGGAACAATATGAAATTTCTTGTTCATCTGAAAATCCTGCATTTTAATTGCTTGAAATGAAAGATTGTATCTTCAAAATCTCAAGTTGTTTTATTGAATCTCACAGGATTTTAAATTTCTGGCATGGGCTACATCTTTGTGCCCCTCTCTTTTGGGTCTCTTTCATGTATTGTGCCTATTTGTGATTATAGTTGCAAGTTTTTCATTTGGCTGCAGCTAGCTGTGACCACAAGAGGGTAGAGCTGCCTAGAGAATTAACCGCTAGCACTGCATGAGTGAACAGCCAGTTTTATTTTAAATTCTTTTTGAAACTGCAGATAAATAAATAAAACTTTGTTTCTCTTCTCGAACACAATAAAAAATTGTTAATCTGTTTATGAAACAGATTACAATAATCACCCAGCAAAAAATCAAATCTCTTGTGTAAGAGGGAGGAGAAATAGAGGAGTGTAATTATCTCATTTGAATTGAAAAGATGTTGATAGTGGTTATGTGGGACAAAATATAAGTGGGGCATTTTTTGGGCTGGTTTCTCGACAACATAAGGCTCATGAAGTCTCATTTTCTGTTAATGTCAGTCCTCTCATAACTTTTCAACCGATTAGTTATTTTCAGCCAAACTTCAGCCAAACATATCTGTTGTGATCACAGGCCTAGACAATATTGATCTGCAAGGGAAGCAGATGCCTCCCACAAAATGGTTTGTTGTGGTGTTTGGCTGGCTGTCAGCTTGCACTCAGTTCCTGACTGACGTGTGTGTACCTTGGCCAACAACCAAGTGCCTGCCAGTCAGCCCAGCAGCGGGCACAAATCTTCAGAGCAGTCAGAGCATACCTGCTTCTTGTCTGGCTTGAAAGCCAAAGAAAAATAAGCAGGAGATGGGGTGGACAAGGGGAATATGAAGAATGTGGCGGGGGGGTGGTGTACAGACATTGTAGAAATGTATTTAAGATACCAACAAAGGCATTAGGACTTTAATACAGCATGTAGGAGATACTGATGTGCTGGAGGTGAAATAATATGGGCTGAGTTTGAAGGGAAGAGAGGAAACTGAGGGCTGGCAGGCAAACCAGAAAGTGTATGTGAGGATTGAGGGGTATTGTGATTTGGAGGGGACAAAAGATCTGGTGGATACTGCAGTGGCAGAGAACCTGTCGGGCACTGCAGCTATTCTGTTTGAGTGTGTGGGAATGGGAGGGAACTGGGAGTAGCAGACAAACATGAGAGACATAGAGAGAAGTAGTGGTATTGTGTGAGGAAAACAGAGGAATTGATATCCAGTTCTGTATTGGTAGAGTGAAGTTGTACTGGCCTAACAATCATGAGAACAGGCAACTGGACAGAGAATGGATGTCATGAGAGCATCAGCCCTTATTACACACTAGGGAAATCACAACCCAGGCACAAAGCCATAGGAAACAACGCATAATGCATTCTGGTGCTCAGAGAACAATCCAGTTTTCTTAGTACTATGGAGAAAGTACAAATTAATTCCACTACATAGTGTTTGTGCTCCAGGATATGTAGGAATTTGCAATTGTGACCCAGTGAGGGGGGATACTTCTGCATGAGGTCATATACAAAACAGCCTGCCAGCTGAAGATGCAGATGGAGAGGGAAGCTACGGTGAAACTAATAATTCCTTGATTCTGGTATTCAAGATACTTGAAAAAAGAGAAAAGCTGTAACATTTAGTGGACAGGGATGTGTTAGGATTGCATCACATCTTTTTTCCCGAGAAAGAAACTGACTCAAACCTGCAGTCAGACTTGGGAACATTCTTCCTCCAGAGACACCTCCGGAATCGGAGGCGAAATGGGATTTCTGGCAAAGCTGCTGCAGGACAATGGACATAGAAAACTCTAGCAGGGGTCAGATGGTGAGAAGAAATGTCTGTGATCTCTGCTCCAAAGGGAATCTGAGATGAAGGCAAAAAACCCCATGAAGTCCTGTCTGAAAAAGATTTTCCAAGGCTAGAAGCTGCTGCCAGAAACGTCTGAGTCAATAGCTGACTGCAGTTGAATGATTGAGGCCAGTTAGGTTTACAACGGTGATGTGAAGTGTAGGCCATGTTGTTACACAATGTCATGCAGTATTGACTAGTAATGTTATGGAGATTTGACAAAATAAACACAAGGTATGTCCAGTGAAACGGCCAGGACAGCATCTGAGGATAGAGTCTGATTGTAGATTGTTGGCTTTCTGAAAGAGCAAGCCACAGAAAAACAAAAAAAAACCCCAAGTTGCCTGTGAGAAAATGAGGGAGCTTTTCATGCAAATTGGCAAGTAAATACTTTATAAAATGAAAGTCCCTAGCCAGATTTGAAGAAGGCATTATTTAGTCTGTCAAGGCCTTTGAGAATTCACCAGAGTGTTAAAAAGGCATGGCATAGATTCACTGTGGTTAAGTGGGCAAAAGAGTTTGTCTCGTTCTCCTGTTTCAGGGCAGCTTCAACACTTGCCAGCTTGAAGCACTCTTGCTACATTTCTTTAAGCACCGCTGAAACAATCAACTGTTGCCTGACGTGCGGTATCTCAGCTCGGAGAGCTGCAGCTCTTAATGTCAAGGGCCTTTGAATTAACAGGGTTGAAAAACAAACTGGATTGACAAAAGTAATTTTGCATTGAGAATTTACCTCTGGAAATGTGATTGATACCAGGTGTAATGCAGACTGAAATACAGGGTTTGGGGTTTTTGGATTGTTTATGTTGACCTTGTGTTGTGTTGACTCTTGACCTTTTTCTATTCTTCATTCTTATTTCAGCTACTGAAGCTGACAGTCAGGATTCAGGGGTGGTTCATGAACCTGGACAGCCATCTTCTTCCCCAGAAGAAACAACCAGAGACCAGTCTGTATATTCTAACGAGTAAATGGGCTGGAGAAGAGCTGAGTAGCAGGCAGCGCTATTTTCATTTCTGAGGAGAGTTTTAGTTAATATGAGGGCAGAGTGACACTTCAGTCACTCAGCAGTCATAACAGCTAGAAGAAGGGGATTAGTCCCCTGCCTCACTTTGTGATCATGTTAGAGCTACCAGGCTCATAGCTCTGCCTCCCTAGCACTGTAAAGCCCTTGTTCTTAAAAAGAGGTTTGCCAGAGCCGTGGTAAATCCCCTCCCCCTGAAGCAGGTGGAAGCAGCAAATGATTAGGACTCTGTTTCTTTTGCTGAGGTTAGAAGGCTCCCTGACTTTGGAGTCAGGTCGCAGAGCCACGTACGTTCTGTAGACTTCTCGTGTTCATGACAGTAGTCAAAAATGTCTTGTTTGTATATCAATTTTCTGTAAAGGAAACCTGGTTCTGAACATTATGGAAGAGTTAAGTGATGTGGGGCCTGAAGACTGAGTGAGAGCAGATGGGAAGACACTCTGGGCTGCTGAAATACTTGGCTGCCCGAGGACATGATTTACTGGATTCAGCAGTTTTAGGGAACAGTAGGTGCTTGTCAAGAAGGGCGTGGGAGGAATTTGCAGAAAGGTCTGATACAGGCTGAAATCCAGCGCCTCCACATTGTTTTCTGGGTGAACTGCCTTTAAGGCACCTTCCGTTCAGGTTGAGGACCGACTGATTTGGAATCACTTCATGTCACATAGGCTTCAGGATTTTTAATGTCCTTGATGGTTTATACATAATTTCAATGTTGTTTAACTCAGTGCAGCTGAAACTAAACATTACTATTTGTTTCTAAAGGGCTCATGTAGACAGCTTTATACACGTGTATGGGAAGTGCGCTGTGGCGTGTTAAAGGTTTGGAGAGATTGCCTAGGAAACTAGGACAAAACACCATTTAGAATAATAATTAGTCAAATCCATACATATTATAATTTTCAATGATAGTGTTTAATTAAAAATGAAAGGTACATTCCTCTACTGTTTTGCCTAGAGGAACTGGTTTTGTATTAAGTGGATTTGTTGTTAATGTTTGAATAATTGGGGGGGGAGTTTTGTATAATTAAAAAAGATACATTAAATTGTTGGTATGGTTTTGATGATTTGAGGCTTGCATATCTACAAGCAGTTTTTCTAGCTAAATGTCAGATGTTGCTCTGAACAGCTCTGTGTAACAAACTTGTCTGGCAAGAGATTTAGGCTTCAGTATTTTTCTTCTACAACTTTTGACTGCTGCTGTAGAGGTGAGCACAGTAAAATAAACTTCTTTATTTCTGCTACTTGTACTAATAATCCTTTGTTCAATGCAAGATGTAAAGAAATTACAGTAAGCTAATTTTTTTTTTTAATGTAGTAGATGATCTGCTGAAATGCTTTTCAGCACACAGCGTTTTGGGGCAAAAGTGAAAGTGGCAAACTTAGAACTGCCAAGCAGCAGACTGAAAACCACATGTATCTACAGAAAATAATCTGATGTACAACTTGCTATATACTAGATTTATAACAGTATCTTTGCTCCCAGGAGTGCCCCAAACCTCCTCTTAAAACAGCTGTTTGCTTGGGAAAATCTGGGTGCTTCTTTAAGGTGTCCAGATACAGCAAAGCTCTTTTCAAAATAAAATAATCTACAAATAGAAATACCAGTAGCACCCACAAAGCAGGTTCCTCTGTGGATGGAGGGTTATTTTTTTATATGTATAATATAATGATTTAAGGAAATAGTAATGTACAAGACGAACAGTTAAATAGTCTCCTTCCCAGATATTTTTCTAAAGTCATATTCGGTGTTGTATTACTCCTTAAGTCTCAAAGCAAGATGGATCCAGCCCATTTCACTGACTGTAATGCGCAGTCATTGTAGATACACTGCAGATACAGTACTGTTTTCTGTTTTGCTGTGCCAGTGACCGCTTCCAGATTGCCAAGCCAAATGCCTTTTCCTTTTCCTCCATCCTTTTGAACTATCATTGAGTGAACCTCAGCCTTTACTTTGGCTGTTTGAGTGATGGTATGCCACTCCAGTAGGATCTCTTTCACTGCATTGCCGCAGACCAGTGTTCATCTCCAGAGCGATGTAGTGAGTTTGAAGAGGAGCCAGAGAAAGGCAACTAAACTGAACAAGGAGATGGAGGAGTTGCCTTACAAGGGGAGTCTAAAAATAGACTAGAGTCTTCAGTTTGGAGAAGAGAAAGTTGAGGATATGACTCAGTTTTAGAACATCATGTCAGCTGTGGCAAAGTAGATGCAAAACCATTACCTAACCTTGCTACTTCCATACATGTGAAGAACATGAAGGTGACCGGGAGCAGAGGCAAATGATGTCTGACCAGCATGATTGCCTCCTTGTAAGGAAATGACAGGTATTTACCCCAGTCTAAAGTCTTAACAGTTGAACAGTTACAATTAGCTTTCCTAGAGCATCAACAGTGAGGCCAATACTGTTTAGTATGCATAATCGTATCATCAGTCAAACTTTGTTTGGTGTCATTTCAGATTTTCACATTTTAGGAAGATTTGTCCCCGAGTTCTTGCACCTATCTCTGCATGGAAAAGTAAATGGTAGGAGAATTAAAGCGAGTAACTCCCCAGCTGACAGAAAGAATTAGCTTATGTGGATAATTCAAGGTTTCATTCTTCCATTTTATGCTCAGCTTGTCCTTTTTAACCGAGGAAAAAATGTTCCTTGACAACTGGCGTTGTCATACTGTGCACTTAAGGACTTCAAAGTGAGTAATTTTAATTCCTAACTTAGTGCCAACCAATGTTTCCAATAATTAAACTCTGTGATGTTTTCTGACTCCATTTATTTAAATAAATGACTTAGGGATAATGAAATCAATTTGGATTGAAATGGAATTATTTGGATTAGACAAGTCACTCAGAGGTTGTTCCAGCCTAAATCATCCCAGAATTTTATTGTTTTTTATTAAGGCTGAAGCCACATAGACTTTGGTCAAATTCATAAAATCTGGGGAGAAAAAGAAAAGTTAGCTATGATACCCACTTCTGAAATCTTTCTGCATGCAAGCTGCTACTGACTGCAGAAGGAATTCTGCACACAGCATTTGTCATCTTACTTATTTTCTGATTTCTGTGAATTGACTCACTTACTAAATAGATCTGAACTTCCAAAGATATGATTCCTAACATCTGGCACTTCTGTCAGTCCTCTGTCCTCACTGGAAGCCCCTAGGTCATCACAGAGCAACAAGCTTTGTTTGTACACTGAAGGGGAAAACCTGAAATTAGGAAGCACTTCTTTAACGTTTACTCACACCACTAATTTCATTACTTTCAGTGGAATTATTTGAGAGGGTACAGAGTTGACAACGGTGGTTAGGTATGCAAGTTTAGGATCCAAGTTTCATACAGAGGTGTCTGTGACACTGTCCAAAACCTGACATTATTGTAGATTTGCATTTTCTGTAGGAGCTTTGGAAAAAAGAAACCCAAAGGATTCTAGAAGGAACACGTAATGTGTCCATTCTGCAAACATATGTAAGATTCATTTGTCATTGCCCTGCAGCAAACTGCTAGATGTTAACATTTCTCTTTTTCATTTTGGAATTAGATGCACCCAGTTGGAAACCTCTGAATTCACAGCAAGACTATAGCTGTTTTTTCCACATTAACAAGTAATTAATTTTGAACAGCAATCCAAAGAAATATTTAATTGCCTACCAATAAAGTCAGCTTGCTGCAAACAAAATTCTCCCTCCCCTTAAAAAAATAATTTTCATGACAGAAAAATTCTTTATGATGTGAAACATACCTATTTTGGAACAGTGGAAAGTTTAATTAAATCATTCTTATGGGCAAGTGGGTCTGGTTTTCCTACTTTTTTGCCCAATATTTTACTACTGCAACATTAGCATTAGTCACAGAGTTGTGTCTCAGCTTGCCAGAACGTAAGGGAGAAATCCAAATGTTAAGAAAGACTTTGTGGAATCTATTCCTGAAATCAGAGTGTCACTACATGTTTTATTGCAGCCCAGGCCATTGAAAGAGCTCTAGATCCACCACAGATGACCAGGCAGCGATGTGCCCAATCCACCCACCTATGCAATTTACTTATTTACTGTATCCTCACAGGTATTTCTTATCATACCTGAGTAAGGCTTGAAGAGCCTAGGCTAGAACATTTCTGAAAAAGCCCCTACCCAAACCCCAGGCTTATTTTGGTATTACTTTTATGTACAGTGGGTAACATTTTTCTCTTGTTTCTCCTTACTGGCCCTTCCCACTGGCTCTTTGGATATTGTCCTCAGCTGGGCAATGTTAGTGGTGACCTTGCTACTGACTTCATAGGGTGATCCCCTATGGATCTAATGATGGCCCAGTTGTGATCTCACACTGTTTTCACTTTTGTTCTATGCAACTGTCTTTAGCAGAGGCATTTCTGGTTTCATTTACTAATTACTGTCAGGGTTTTATAGTTATTATATAGTTATTTATTTTTACAAAATGTGGTTTAAATAATACTCATATGCATAGTTCCCTGGGAGAACGTTCCTAGTTTTTCATGACAGCCTCTGTTTCCCATTAAGAAATGTTTTCTTTTGATCAAGGTGCAAATCGACTGCTTCTCATGCTCTTCCAACAGTAAATATACACTTACATTCAAGTAATTGAAAAGCCTCATGTACCTGCAGCTATTTTTTACGTTCCCTTCCTCGTGGACTGTCTCACACTGCGAAATGGTTCTTTACTTCCTGATGTTCCTCCGTCCTGGGATTACAAATTTGTTTTTAAGGCACTTTGGCCATCTTCCTGCCCGCCTTTCCAAAGGCATGCGCAGGGCTAGTAATCCCACTCCCCAGAGCTGCCCAGAGATCTGCAGAGGCCACACCTGCTTACTTTATTTTCCTTACTGCCTGCGTCTCCAGCTGGATTTTGTTTTTCTCAAAACACTTTACAGTATTTTTCATGGCCAGTGCAACGATGGCGTAGAAATGAATCAGAGACGAACTTTAAAAAAAAATCAGAGAAATAATAAAATAATTTTCGTCTAAATCACAGAATCCCAGCATGGTAGGGGTTGGAAGGGACCTCTGTGGGTCATCCAGTCCAA